GGTGTACTTACTATTGTGTGCCCCTCCCTGCCCCACTTGGTGTACTACTGTGTGCCCCGCCATGCCGTGCCCATGCAGGCCAAGGCCCAGGGAGACGACCAGGCCATGTTTGTGGACGAAAACTTCTGCACCGCGCTGGAGTACGGGCTGCCGCCCACGGGCGGCTGGGGGCTGGGCATCGACCGCTTCACCATGATGCTGACTGACAAGAACAACATCAAGGAGGTGGGGCCAGTGGGCGGGAGGTGGGGGGCCTGCAGCAGAGCGGGAGGGGCTGCAGGACAAGGAGGGTTCCAGTGGCTGCCTGGGAAGCGAGCAGGCAGGCAGCAGTAGAACTGGCTGGCTGGCTGGCTGTGGCTGGCTGCAGTACACGGGGGATTCAAGCGGCGGCCTGGGAAGCGGGCAGGCAGGCAGGCAGGCGGGGGCAGCCACAGGCAGCAGGTGCCCGCGCGCCGACCTGCTCTGCGTGTGTGTGTGCTGCTGCTGCTCCGCCGCAGGTGCTGCTGTTCCCGGCCATGAAGCCCGATGCATCGGACAAGCCCGCGGCGGCGGCGGCGGCGGCGGCGGCGGCGGCGGATGGAGTGGCGGGGCTCAGCATCGTGAGTGCCTGCCGCAGGGCTTTAGGGTTTAGGGTGGTGCTGCCGCCTGTACGCTGCCTGCCGCCTGTACGCTGCCTCCTGCCTGCTGGATGCAACTGTGTCCTGCTGCTGCTGCATGCTCTTAGCCCACGATGAGCCCACTCAAAACGCCCACCACCCTCGGCCCACCACTGACCCCGCCACTCCCCTCCCTCCTCCCCTCGCCTCCCGAGCCCTCTCTCCCTCTGCACCTGCCTCTGCCTGGCTTCTCATCGCAGAGCGAGCCCGCCGCTTGATCTCTTGTTCAGGCACAGGGCGCGCCTGGCGCCGGCGCCGACGCGAGCATGGTGTTGGCACAGGCGCAGGCCACGCCCAGCCGTACGGGCAGCGGCGCGGGCTGGCCCGGCACGCCCACGCCGGCAGACGCCCCGCCGGCTGCGGCGGCGTCGCCGGCCGGCTGCAGCAGCCCGCGGCGCGCGCGCGGCGGCGCTGCTGGCGCCACCGAGGCGGCGCTGGAGCGGTTCAGGCGGGTGGTGGTGCTTGAGGCGGCGGCCACCCGCGCCGCCGCTCATGCCGACCGTCAGGCGCTGGTGCACGGCCAGCCTCTGGAGGGGGTGGTGCGCTCGGTGTCGCCGCAGCCGCTGGCGCCCGGCGGCACGCGGGAGGGCACCGAGGCGCGCCTGCGCCTGTGGCGCGGCAGCAGGGCGGGGCAGGCGCCGAGCGGCGAGCCGTGATGCCCGCGCCCGCCTCCCGTCAGACATCTGCCACTGCTGCTGCTCGACACTGTTCCTGTTATGCCTGTTTGTCGCTCTCCACGCCACGTGTCCTGGCGTCGCAATTCTTTGTCCAGCCGCCCTGCTTCCTGCTAGCGGCATGTTACAAGCACTCTCAACCACAGCGCCAGCCGCACTAGCCCAGACCGCGCTCAACACTGCGAAGCCCGGAAGCTAACAGATAAGTGCAGCTGCTGCTCAGCTGGTGGCAGCCGGCTCGGGCTCGGCGGCGGCGGCGGCTTCCGCTGCTACCGCCGCAGCCTGGGGCCCTCTACGCGGCGGGTTGCCGCCTGCCACCACATTATAGACCAGGAAGAGGGCCATGGCGGCGCTGAGGCCCAGCAGCGCTCCCATGAACATGCGGGATACCCCCTGCTGTACCGCGCGGTACGCATAGTATGCCAGCCAGCCCGCCAGCCCTGCAGGCGGAGCAGAGCAGGGAGGCAGGAGGCTGGTGTGGGGGTGGTGGCGAGGCGAAGAGGGGGAGGTCGGGGCGTGTGCCGTGCGGAAAGCAATTAGGTTGGCAGTCAAGCAAGGGACAAGCAGCCAGCGCGGCAAGTGGGGAGCAAGCCTTGGAACAGAACAGAGAGGGCACCACGCTGCACAGCTGCGCTTGCCTGCTTCCGACAGCGTGATGGGCGTGGTGGCCTTGCCGGCGCGCCACGCCCTGAGAGACAGGTTGGACAGCACCACCTGCGCCGCCCCCAGCACCGCCATCACCGCCGCGGGCTGCCCCCAGCCGCACAGCTTGCCGGCCAGGCCGCCCGCCAGCAGCAGCGCGCCATAAGGGATGCACATGCAAAAGTCATGGAGGAAAGCGTGGCGGGCGCCGGCGACGGCTGCGTCCTCGCCGTCGCTGCTACTGAGGGAGGCTGCCGCCGAGGCCGCCGCGGACGCCGTTGCTTGTCTGACCTGCAAGCCATGATATGTTGGGGTATCAATCACGTCGTCGATTGACAGAGGGTGGAGGGATGGGTCAGCTTGGTAGGCTGGCCGTGAGCGGCGGCAGGCAGCGGCGGTGGCGTGCTGGGTGAGCGCTATGCCGGCTCGCCTGGCGGCCTCGGAGGGATGCTGTCCCGCACGGCAGCGCTATGCTAGCACGGCTGAGGCTTGACAGCGCCGTGGCATGGTGCTGCACGCTGCGTCGGCCGCCGATGCTCCCGCTCGTCGACGGCTGCTGCTGGCAGCACAGCTGGAGAGCGCAGGCAGTGGGCATCGTGATGCGGAATAGCGCAGGGCTTTGGGTTTGCTCATCCCTTCATCCGCCCCCGCCCCTCCCCGCTGTGCCGCCTGCTGTGCGCCACACGGGGACCCCCAGTTCCCTGCCACTCCTTTGCTCTAGAAAAATCTCTTGAAATCAAGCAAGTTGTGATCTGTTTGGTATTGCAAGGGATACAGATAATGGCAAATCAAGGCGGCAAGCCACGGACCGGTCGCACACTCATGTCAATCGCCCGCCTGCCGTGCCGCCGCCTCGCGGCTTGCCTTCTTTACGTGGGCGACATACGCAGCCGCGAGCTGGGAAGCACGGCTGAGCTCTGCGCTCAGGCGATCGCGCTCCTCCCTGAGGCGATCCCGCTTCCCCTGCTGCTCCCACTTGCGAGCAGCCGCTGCGAGAGTGTACTGCACCTCGGCTTCCATACTGGCACTGCTTGCCTGCAGCGCCGCATGCTGCTGCTCCCTGCGCCGCATGGTTCCGTTGACCTCCTCCAGCAGCAGGCTGCAAGCGTCGGTGAAAACAGCGGCACCGTCCGGCCCTGGCGCCAGACCGGCCGCGGCATCAGCGCCTCGCTCCCCAGCCAGCCTGCCGGTGGGTCGTGACAGGTCGTCAGTTTTGACATCAGGCGTGCTGGTTGCGGTCAGCACCGTGCGCTGACGCTTGCCAGGCGTCACGTCATCAGACATGATCAGTCGCGCTGCAGCACAGGTGCAGGGGCGCGGCGTGTGGCGGCGGCGGCGGAGCCCGGCCAATAGCTGCGCGCTGCGAGCCCTGCGTGATCGCATCTCGCTCACGCCACGCAAATATGCGCCTCTGAAAACTCCCCCACCGTGGTGCAGCTGCCAGGCGCCGTGGGAGTTCTGTTCTCTCCTCTCACCCACACTGCACCAACCTGCTGTGACGATAATGATTGGGGACTGGCTGCCCTCTGCAGCCTGCCCTCCAAGGCTTCTAGAAGCTCTGGTCCGCCCGCGTGGCGCGTGGCGGTGCCTGGGCATGCAGGCCGGCCTGCGTTGTCTCCCCAACTCCACAGGGGCCCCAGGATGACCAAGCTGTCACAATTGACTTCACAGGACTCTTCACTGCGGGTGGCCGTGGTGTGCGGCCACTGGAAGAGGCAGGGGGCCGTCACCACAGGTGAGACTCGCCAGGCAAGGGCTGCTGTGCCGCGGGAAGCGCAGGGCAGGCCAGGGGGCAGCGGCCTGGCACTCCGTGTGCTGCTGCTCGCGTGCCCAGGCCAGGTGCCACCTCCGCGGCTGCCGCCGTTATTGCCCATCCCGCTGCCCCTGCTCTGCACCAGGCATCTTCCTCGGTGGGCACCACGATTACACCTGCGGCGGTGCAATCGAGTGCTATGTGCAATGCACGGGCACACCAGTGGAGGCAGGCGGCACATGTGACGGCTCCTCCCGCAGTGGCGGCAACAATAGAGTCCTCACTGCCTCGGAGTTTGAGAAGCACTCGGGTGGGCAGCCTGCACTGTGCGAGTCAGGCCTGCTCAGCTGGCATAGCCGCCCTCTCCGCTGCTGCGCTGCTGCCCAGGCTGTGCGTGTGCGTGTCTGCAGCGTGTGTCGTGTCTGACGTCCCTGTGTTACAGTCACCCCGCTATGATAGGCCGCGTGAGCAGACCTTGGGCAGGGGGCACACGTGATCAAGGGGCATCAAGAGAGGGGGTGGACCATGGAGCACCCTCTCCATGGCTCCGACCACCCTCCCCCCAGCTGAGCGTCCCAGGGTCACCCCACCCTGGCCCCGCTCCCCGTCCTGCCGGACACGCAACCCCCACAACGTGGTGGGGGACGTGGGGATCCTTAGCAGCTTAGGCCTGCCAGGCCGACGGGTGCCGATGCTGGTGCGGGCTCCCGGCGGCAGGCAGCGCCGCCGCCGGGCACTCAAATGGCATGGGGCACATGGGCCCCCATGCCCGCACATCTCCCAGGCACATGAAAATACCAGAAGGCTGCACATGTAAGGGTGCATGCATTGCAGGCAGGAGTGCAAAGTGGCCTGCCGCGGCGGTCGGCTGTGCCATTACTCAGTCAGCCGCCGCTACCGTGCCGGGCTTGGCGTTCCCATGCCAACATGCCGGCGTGCCATCGCGCAAGGGGCCAGTGAGTGTGTGAGGCGGAGGTGGGGGTGGTGGGGCTGCCGCTGACCGTTGCTTGCTGACGCTGACGCTGCTCTTACCTGCGGGGGGAGGGGGTGGGTCGGGAGCCAAGGCCGGGCAAAAGATGCCTGGGCCCTACTCAA